CTAAGTGGACACATAGGTACTACAGTAATAGGGTATTGGGCAGGTGGAAGGGTGGAGGGGGGCGGGTATATACATACATAATGAGTGAGATGTGCACCTTCTGGGGGATGGTCATGCTGGAGACTCAGACTTGTGGGAGGAGAAGGGGAATGGGCATTTATTGAAACCTTAAAATCTGTACCCCCATAATATGCCGAAAGAAAAAAAAAGACCAAAGGCTCCTGATCAATGCAGCACAAGCTCTCCCCATTTCCCTAAGGGTGTCACTTCCTCTTGACTCCTATGGTGAATGACAGTGCCCTGCCATGGTTTGGATGCTTGTCCCCACCAAATCTCATACTGAAATGTATCCCCAATGTTGATGTGGGGCCTAATGGAAGGTGTTAGGTCATGGGGAGTAGCTCTCATGATTAGATTAATGCCCTCCCTCAGGGATGAGTGAGTTCTCTGCTCTACTAGTCTCCAAGAGAGCTGGTTGTTAAAGACAGCCTGGAACCTCCCCCCCTCTCTTGCTTCATCTCTCATTGTGTGATCTCTGGTCCCCTTCTCTCTCCACCACGAGTAGAAGCAGCTTGAGGCCTCGACAGATGCCCATGCTGGTGGCATGCTTCTTACATAGCCCAAAGAACCATGAGCCAAATGAACCTTTTTTCTTTATAGATGACCCAGTCTCACGTTTTCCTCTACAGCAACACAAAATGGACTCAGACACGCAGAAAGAGAAGAGAAAGATGAAGATCTATTGAATGTCTCCATTTAGTCACTTCTGAAGTTGACAACCCCACACTTCCTTATTACATGAAAAAAAATAAGTTTGAGTTGGGTTTCTATCAATTGGAACCAAGAAGAGTAATTTAATTTCTGATTCTACTTTCTCAAAAATAAAAACTGGCCTTGATCACTGTAACTTGGCAGGATATCTCTGAAACATCAGTTTGGCTGTCGGTGACACCAGCAGTCACTATGTGTGTCCCCACACAATCCCACCGTGTCTACTTACACAATACTCAACAAACTGGAAGCAAGACTGGGCTATCTTAGGGCCATTGCACTGAACGTCAATATTAAGAACCGTGAAGAATGTGACAAGAGAACTGATTTTCTACCTCCTCTGCCTGCCCTTACTAGGCACCCAAGATGCTTCTAGTCTCAAGGAGCAACCCCTCCTTCTGGCCACAGGTTGGCTGGGTCACCTCAAAATATGTTCCTTCGTTCTGCGGTGGTTTCCTCCCTCCACCCAGTTAAGAAAGCTTAGGGTACAAATAACTCATAATCATGTTTAATTATTTTTAAAAAGCTCTGTAGTCAGCCAAATGGATTCAATGTGCTTCTCTTGAGCAGTCTGTGGGGCAGAATGGAAGAGCAGCCGCTCGGGGCCTGAGAAGACGCAGCTGGCAGTGCAGGCAGAGGCTCTGGGCAGTGCAGGAAGCAGGTTCACAGCCAGATCCTTGGGGCAGGGGTCACAGGATGTGACCTGGTGGCTGTGTGACAGCCACTGTAGGACTCTGAGCTCAGAGGGGGACAGGCTGACGCAGGTGGCTGGGAATTCTGGGCAGACAGGCGGGCACTGCAGAAGGATGAAGACCAATCCCAGTCAAGCAGTCCTCAGGAGTCAGTGCAGGAGCCCTGCAGGACAGAGAGGCGTGATCGGCACCAGGGACTCCCAGGGACACACTCTCCTCCCTCTTGTTGGGCAGCACTAAAGAAAGCTGAGGTCTAGGGCATATCATCACCTCCCCCAATATCTCTGTGTGAAGATGAAATCAGCTAACGAGGACACGGACTTCAGCTGACACAGCTGTGCAGAGGTTGGGGAACACCATTACCCTTGTGGGGAATATGAAGGGCTCAACCTTTTCAGTAAACCAGATGGTAACTGCCCTCTTTCTATCACTGGCAGCCTCTTCTAGTCACTGGTAAATACGGACAGGCAGCAGCCACCAACATGTGGCACAAAGTAGACAAAGCCTAGGGCCTATCACCAAAGGTGTGGCTTTGACTCCAAGTTTCACAGAAAGATGCCACAAAGTTATGATTTGATTCTGGGAAATAACATCTGGAGCTTTTTACAGAAACTCAGCAATTTTCTCCTTAATTCTTGATCCCCATAGAAGGGAACAGGCTATGAACAAAGTGCCCAGGTAACTCACCTCATGCCCTTCATTCTTACACCTGTCCCCCTGTCCCCACGGAATCAGAACAGAAATATTACCTGCTGGTGGAGGCCCACGAGGTCCTACAAAAGTAAATTACACAGAGAAAGTCTCATTACACAAATAGCCACACTCTCACTCAGAGAAATGACACATGCAACTTAATCGGAGAGTTATATTCTCTCCCCACCCTGTACTTTAACTGTCCTAAGCTAAAATCCAGCAAAACAAATGAAACTGTCACTAGAAGGAAGGGGAGCCGAGGCTCTGGCCCTCTTAATGGAGGAAGCTTTTGGAAAGGAGCCAGGGAGACAATGATGAGCAGTAAGGAAGCCCTAGAATAAACTTCACTGCCACTTCTGTGCGGGCCCTTTCAACCAGCACAGCCAGGTCCCCAGGCACCCCTCGGTTGCCCCCCCACACCCCCTCCCCCTGTCTCCTTCCTTCCAGGCTCAGGAGGAAAGCGCTGCCCCTAGAGGCACAGCCTCTCTCAACTAAGGGTCTCGGGCCCAGCCCATGTCCCCCAGGCCCCCCAGCGTTCCTCACCTTTCTGACTCCTGTGACGGATGACAAGGCCCAGCCCGAGGAAGATCAGCCCCAGCACAAGGCCCCCGACGCCACTCAGCATCTTGCCCTGGGCAGATTCAGACTGAGCCCCTGGGGAGCAGAGCCCGAGTGTCAGCGTTTGTCCCCACACCCACAGTGTCCCTGTGAGGACCTGAAGTCCAGTCTGAGGTGCAGGAGGAGGTGTCAGGGGAGCCTCATTCCCCATTCTGACCACCCCTAGGGAAGGGAAGGTCCAGCCTTGGACCCTGGGTGTGTGAGGGAGAGGAAAGGGGGGTCCCTGCCCCTCATGAACACAACCATAACCTTAGGCCCTGAGAACCCTGTCACCAGCCATAACAGTCCCTCAGAGCTATCAGGCTGGGTTCCAGGGCCACAGTGTGTACAGTGATCTCACTGGTATCTGAAAGACAATTACATGAGAATTCCTCCGATGCCCTCCAGGGAGCAAGACGTGCTCTCTTTTGCTTTTCAGAGTCTCAAGAGATGTCTCCGGGGATTCCCAGCTCTTAGGTGACATCAGGGATCCTGTACCATGGGGTGGCACAGGCCAGAGGAGCTCTGCCCTTTGTTTTGCGAAGCCCACAGCAAAAGAAAACGAATTTCCCCTTACGCCACTCCACGGTGATGGGGCTCTGGCGGCTGGGGTGCTCCACGTGGCAGGTGTAGACGTCTCCACGCTGGGGGGTCATTTCCAGCATCACCAGGATCTGGAAGGTCCAGTCCCCGTTCCTAATAAGCGGGGTGGACACCACGCCGGCTGTCTCCTCCTGGTCATTGCGCAACCACCGGACCCTGACCTGACCTGGGTAGAAATCCGTCACGGAGCAGACCAGCATGTTGTGGTGGTTTAGGGCCTCCGTCCTGGACGGCGAGACGGTCACTGTGGGCTCCACTGAGGGGGAGTAACAGACGGAAAACGACACGACGAGACGTGAGGCCAAGGGCAAGTCTCCGTGGGGAAGTCCCTCTGTGCTACCAGAGTGGGGAGACAACTGGAGCCCGCGTCTCAGATTAGAGCCCGAGCTCGCCACCTGCTAGCTCAATGACACGTCAGCAGCTTACTCGTCAGAGTCTGATCATTCTAGGGAGTTGCTATGCTTAAAAAATTGAATCACCTTAAAATTATAAATCACCATATTTTATAGGTTAGTATTCATAAAACAATCATAAACTTGGACTCCTGTTCCTTCCTCACTGACAGAAATTGAAGGTCACCCTCAGGGCCGGCTCTGCTGGCTCATCCCAGGACAGGGACGGTTTCGTAGTCCCAGCGCGCTCACAAGAGAAATCACAGCGGCTCGACCGCCCCCTGCTGGCCGGGGCCATTCCGTGAGCCGGGCGGGAGAAGGGAGACGGCACTGAAGAGAAGGACGTGCGGACATCTCTAGTCTAGTCAGCAAAGAGCCCTCACACGCTCCTGCAGAGCCGCTTCCGGAGACCCGCTCACAGCCCCACAGCCCTCGGGAGACGGGCCCTTCCTGGGTCCACACAGAGCCCTACCGGCGCTGGCCTAACTCGACTCGCGTGCCCTCTGTGTGAACGCCCCACAAGATCTATGTCCTTAAACTCGTGAACTTCCATCCCCTCGTCGCCTGTGCCGTCTGTGCTCATTTCGTCCCTTCGTTCGCTCGTTCCTCAAACCCCAGTACCAGGGATGCAAAGGTTAGCGGCCGCCTCGCCCTCGCTCGACAAGCCGTACCTAGCAACCGGAACCGGCACGTGGTGACGTGAGGACGTCATGTCACAGGCGTGCGCGCTCCGAAGGGAAGGCGCGGAAGGGGTGAAACGGCCGTCTCGCGGGCCTCAGTTGCCTCACCTTCCCAGATGGCCGCCGGGGCCGCACACCACACGCTTCTCCCCACCCGCTTCACACATCTTACCTTCACCTACAGAGCCATTTTGCCGCGCCTCCCTGAGCCCCTGGCGTGAAACTTTTGTAGATATTTCGTGCGTGTTTTACTTATTTGATGATGTGTGTTCCTTCATATCCTGTTTCCCGCTAGTTTCCTTCTAGCGCTCGCGCGAGGCTGGTCTCCGGCGC